CTACTGTCCACTGTACTTAGAAAGAATCCATCCTCGGAAACATTGCATTTGTCGGAGTTTGTTTGGGTCAAGTGGATGTGGGAAACAGGGCAGGCTTGGGGAAGGGTGCAAATATTTGGAACATTATTTGAGCGCTGACGAGTCACACAGAGATATCAACACCTGAATTTATTCAACTCTAAATGTTGGCACCTTAAAGTTACGCAGGCTATAACATTTATAAAGAAGAATAAGAAGGGTAAACTCCTCTAGAGAGGTTCTGTTGAAGCCTGCCAATGCTTGGTGGCAAAAGATGTTCGTGGGCATTTAATAAGTACTGACTGGCAGCCCTTGTCATACCCCCTGCCAGAAAAAGTCAGCCCTGGCAGAGTTTATGAAGCTCCCCTGGAGTAACGCTTCTGCACAGCTGGGTAGAAGGCAGAAAGTCAGCAGTGGCAAATGCTGTTTTACCCTTGAATGCCAAGCTGCCTTTGTTGAAAACCTTTTCACAAAGCTATGGAGTAACTTCGTGGTCTTTTCCAGCCTGAGTGTGATAATCTCTCCCCTCTGCAGTCTCCCTTTTTAATTCTTCTTTATTAATATCACAATGGCTGGGAAGCTGGAGTGAGGGGAGAGCCTCTGGGTGCACTTCAGCTCAGTGGACTTAATGACCTCTTTAGGCAGCTGCCTGCATTAGCCCATTGCTGACACTGGCCACACCTGCCCTATTCTGCAGAAGGATGTTCTCATTTTAAATGGCTCTGCCAGCAGGCTATACACCTTGACTGTCTGCCCAGAGATCTGATAAGCCTTTTTTGCTGCTTGTTTTGGAGTACAAAAAAGGGTGGGGGTTTTGCTGGTGGGCACTCTGTGGCTTGATGAGTTGTGACAGCTCTGGCCCTTTTCTTGAGCACGCTACTCTGATTCATGAGGTACATGCCTTCTCATTGAGGCTGGTCTGATAAAGAAATCCTTATTAATTTATCTTAGAGCCTTCCTTCATTTTTGACATAAGGATGCAAGGTAGATGCTGCTGCTCTTAATGGTGCCCTGTCCATTCCAGTGAATTTTCATTAGGAATCGTGGAAGGCAAATAATATGTGTATCCTTTTCACTGCCAAAGATAAAAAGAAGCTCCCATCTTTGTTCCCCCCAAACAAGAAAGAGGGGATTTTCATGATTATATAGGCTGCTTACTCTCAAAAGACTATGGGTACTATTATGACTTTACAAGAGAGGTGAATTGTGTAGCAAACTAATCATAAATAAGAATTCAAGCTTGTGCTATGAAAAGTTAAGCAAGGTCAGACCTAGTCAGTACTTGGATGGGAGGCCACAAGGAAATATCAGGGCTTAGTCTGCTATATACTGGAAAGTCAAAAAAGGCATCCAGAAAGGAAGTAACAGCAAATCATTGTTGCAAAAAAAAAATGACATCAACAGGGACACGAAGTCTAGATGAATCAAACCTAACTCAAAAGAGACTGTACTTTAATATGTGTGTTATTTGCATCTCCACTTAAAACAACAACCACAACAATCTCTGACAAGACAGGACAGGAAAGGACAGGAGGGAAAGTCAGTTGATGAAACATACTACATAGATTAATTATTCTTTAATTTCAAATACATGCATATTTTTCTGGGCCAAAATGTGGGCCCTCAAGTGGCAATGCTCCAAGAAGTAAGAAGTGAGATCAGGCAAAAAATATATTTTATTTCACTTCATTTAACTAAATATTAATTCCCTAGTCACATATTTGATCATTTTCCACTTCCTTGTTCCCCCCCCCCAAATCTTTTGTTTTCATTTATTGCAGCTCTGTTCATGTTGGTTAAGTGATCTAATGTTGCAAACACCCAGGCACCACGATCAGGCCTCTTTCAAATAACCTATTAAGGCTGGGGGATTTTGTGGAGAGGGCAAGGAAGACAAGCTTGTCAGTGCCCCACTTCCCTCCCAAGCCATGAACGGCAGCGTACCTACAAACCTTACACACCAGTCAGAGCAAGTGCATTTACACAACCTTCAGCCTTGAGCAACTCTCTGCCTTCTCTGGGCTATTCCAAGGAGGAAAAGAAGTTCTGTTTACAGTCAACGGCCTGGCATGCCATTGTGTACTTTGAACTGGTGCCTACTTGCATCTCGTTCTGCCTCTAACCTGAGCCAGGCAGCGCAGCTGAGAAGGGGGAGATAGAAGGAGGCCTCAAAGTTCGGGCAAGGCAACCCAGGGTGGGTGAGAAGTCTCCAGAGGGGCATTTCTGGCAGGAAGAGGAGCATGTGCCAAGGCCAGTTTATGTGCAGAGGGGAAAAGGTTAAACTTCTGCCGCAGCTGAACTCTTCTCCGACCTGCCTCTCTCAGCTTTCGCCTAGTTGGAACAACCCACAGCTTAGAAAAGGTGTGTTCTAATGAATGGGAGTGCTGTGCACTCCCTGCCCAGCTGCAACAGTGACAGGGTCTATATGTAACATGTAGGAGGAGTGCACTTCCCCTGCCGAGCCCTGCCTGCTGCAACAAAAGGATTATTACACCCCTCGCATAGCACCCCTGGGGGTTATTTACAAGGGGGGGTAGCTTGGAGAAACTTTCTTCCCTTCCTATGTAACAGCTGGGATAAGGACAGCATGAGAAAAACATCATATGCAGGTGAGTAGAAAAAATATATTTCCTTAGGAGCTCTGAATCCTTCAGTCGGGCTCTTTGCGCAGAAGGAGAAAGCTTGTTGCAAAGTACTGCCTGTCTTCTGTTGGCTCAACTCTTTAGAATTGCAGGTGGGTTTCAGGGCAGAGGAAGGGCACTGGCAATAAAGCAAAAAACCTGAGCGAATTAAGCAGATGCTAAATTCTCAGATCAAAAGGCAAATGTCTGTGTATGTACAGATACCAACCAAGCACACACAGCATTTGGTAGCTGAAAGCCTTAAAGAATTGACATTTAAAATTGCAGTTATTTTATCCAGAACAAATCCAACAAGTGTTGTCACTCAAGGGATATTGTGAGTGGAGATTCCTACAGTGGCTTTTATGCATTATTTCATACATCAGTCACAGTACTCTATGCTTTTCTAACTCTTGGACTGTGTGGTGCATTTGTACATCGAAAAATGCATCATAGACCTTGACCCTAAGCTTCCAGGAGATAGCCGATCTCTGTAATCCTGAGGACTAGAAATTTGTCATAAGGATTCATACACATCTACATGTTGGAGGGCTGAAATTCTAAGTTAATTTAATGGAGAATGTGTTTCTGTATACTAAGGAAGCAATTGCATAAAGTTTAAGCAACGTACAACTGAAGATTTTGGGAGTGTCAATATTCTGCATGAACCTCTATCTTGGTGGATTGCTGACAACAGTGTAAAAACTTGCAAAGTAATCTCTAGAGTTCCTAGATTGCATAGATTAACAAACATGGTTGGGGTAAAACTAGGGTTTGGTTGCACTTATGGCATACTAGCCAAAATGTCACTGTTCCTATTCCTAATATGAGTAAAGCTGGTAACCTAGTCCACTCCTACTCTGTATTACTAAAAAATGTTATGTGAATTGATCAATTGATCAAAGACATACGTGAGCAGCAGGTGGGATCATCTGATGACAATGACATATGGAAGACTATGACTTGTAAGAGGAGTAAGTGACGAAGAGCATGAATTAATTAATGAATTGGAACAAAGAAAAATTGAAATATTGTATATATGCAAAACATGAATCTGAGTGTACCCATGCTGTGTGTACCCAATTGTCAGAATGCTATTGCTATTCCTCTTCATAAAGGGAAAAGTAACGAGGAGGATTGCAAAGGAATGAACTTGTGAAATGTCCCAGGGAGGATGGCAGAATTCTGACTGAAGGAATATGAGAGGTGGCACTGAGCAAAATTTGGGAACTGCAGTGCAATGTTTTGCCAGGCAGGGGGTATGTGGACTAGAGTTTTGCTCCAACTCATTGAGAATTGTGGGAATGTGAGAAAGTTTATTGTATATCTGTTGATTTAGGGAATGAACAAATTTCCATTGGCCCGAAAGCTGTGCCAAGCTTTAACAGTATGAGCCAGGACTCAAATTAGCCTTATTTGGGGGGAAATAGGGGAGACCAAATTTTAAGAGGTGAAACAGGTGCCTGAAGTCTCAGCAAGCTTTGAAGCACCAAGTGGGCCCCTTAAAATCCCCACCCTCAAAAAACATCCCAACTTTTGGGCACCTACCTGCTCTGGGGGTACTCATGAGGGCCAAATAGGGCTCCTGGCAGATTGCCGGTTTTTGCACCCCTGACTTAACCTCTCTCACACATCCATAGTGCATATGAGTCTTTGTGGAGTAGTGTTGGATAGCCAGTCCCTGTGTGCTTTGGCTTAGCTTCTGCTTAGAGCTCTGCCAGATGAACATAGATCATGGCTAATTGGATTCTTTTTTCATATCTATATCTAACTGTAGTAACTGCCAAAAACTGGCTGATAGGTGCATTGGAAATGAACCCTTCATGCCGGTCAGAAACATTTTTTGTATCAAACTGAGAGTATCATAAAAAAGAAGAAAATGGATTTATATCACAGAATGTGCTCCACAAGACTAATTAAGGCTTTTCTTAAGCTACTAAAACGATTGAAGCAGCATAATATCATGTTACAAATAAATAAGATGATTATGACATAATGTGAAGTTAGGCTCAGGTCCAGCATCAGCACCCAACAAACCTGGGCAGAACTGTCTAGCAGCTTAAGAAAAGCCACATACGATAACATATATACACAATCTTTCTACTTATATAAGTCCTCTAGGTACCTTACAACAAAAAAACAAAGTGCAAACTATAAAACACAGCAGTAAAATTAATATTACAATCAAAACTACAATCAAAATTAATTATGATTAAAATCAATTAATAATTTAAAGCTTGATGAAAGAAATGTGCTGTTGCCATTTTCCTACACTGAAAGAATGAGGACCAAACACATCTCCCTGGAGGGCACATTTCCATAGCTGAAGAGTCACACAGGAGAAGACCCTCTCCTACTCACCAAAATGGCACTAGGGTCATCTTCAAGAGGGCTTCTCCTGCTCATTTTAGTGATTAGACAGATTCTTAGTGGGAGAAGGTATGCCACAGATAGTGAACTCCTAAGCCATGGAGTTCAGCACCAACATCTTCAATGCTACTTGGTAGGCAATTGGCAGCCAGTTCAGATCTTTCAATGCTAATAACATGTGATCCTTGTACCTTGTACCAGTTAGCAGCTTGAGCACCACATTTTGCACCAATTGCAATCTCCATCTACTTTTCAGGGTTAGTTCAAGATAAAGTCGTTTGGCTCAAGAAAGAATGTGCAAACAAATTCTTCACCACAGTTAGTACCTACCAATGCAGAAACAGGTGGTAGTCAAGGTCCACTCCCAAACTGAAAACCTGCTCTTTCTGAAGAAGGCAACCCTATCCAAAGTGGGCTTGACCTCGGTCCCCAAATCTAGTTTTTTCCTTACCTGTATTTAATTTCAGCTTGTTCTCCTTCATGCAAACCATTATGTGATTAGGCTACATTCCAGTGCACTGATGGGTTCCTTGGAGCTAGAAGATATAGAACATTTTAAGGCTTTGAATTACGTCCCCCAGCTGTCATATGTAGTTGTTTAACAGCATAAGGGATAATATAGAACTCTATGGGATACTGTAGGTCAGAGACCTATGGGCTGGGCAGTAGTCACCCAGCACTACTTTCTGAACATGTCCTGACAGGAAGAACCAGCACTATTATGAAACAGTGCCCCCAAAGCTCAGCCCTGCAGAAAGCCCAGAGGGATACCATGGACATTACTATCAAAAGCCATTGAAGGATCTAGGAGAACTATCAACTATCACTCCCTCCATCTAAGTTTTTTCTGTAGATCATCCACAGACTTGAAGAAAGCAGTTTCAGTACCATATCTTGGAGGAAACCCTAGTCAAAATGTGTCCAGATAACTAGTTTCATCCAAATGCAGTTTTGAGGTTACCACTTTCTACGTCACTTGGTATTTGTAAGCGGACTGTAATCACAAGATCTTCTCAATAAAAGAAAAGCTCCCCCCCCCCACTGAAAGGTTTTATAACTGCCTCCTTTAAGCAGGCAGAAATGCTTCCCACATTCGAGGAGGTGATCACCTTGA